TGCTACTATGTGATCAAATCTCAAACAAAAAATTTCTGATGAACTTTCTGCACATGTCACTAGAATCGTCAATGATCAATATAAAAAATAATACACCAAAAGAAATTGAAAAGACCTTTATTGAAATAAAAAAAAGTTTATGGCAGAATTCAATACCAAAATCTCTAATGAAATCATCACACGTCTTTTTGAAATTAATATATCTTTCACTGTGAAGCTTAGCAGAATTAATACTGAACTTAATGGTAAACTCATTACAGAAATTAAAAATTTTAAGGCACGTGATGTTGGTTACGTCACAGAAGTACAGAAAATTTTTGCGAGACTTTTTAACATTGAAGAAGCTCGTCAAAATGATTTTAACAGAATTACATCCTTAAAGAAATCCGTCATTGTTAGTATAGATGATCTCTATAAGAAAATAAATCAATATTATGCAGAGGTTTGAAGTCATGATTTTGATCAATATAGTGAGTCTAATGAATCTGAAGCTTTGAATCAATCACGTGAAAGCGGTAATTCTACCAGCTTTTCATCCGGTTCATCAAATTCATTTCTTGAAGAAAATAGGAACTGTTTTAAGAGAATTTCCAATGAATCTAAAGCTTTAAATCGATTACGTAATTCTACTCCATCATCCAGTTCATCCAATTCATCTTTAGATGAAAATAGGAACTATTTTAAGAGTGTTTTTGACTTGAAAAAGGAAGTGAAGGAGACTAATAACTATGCATTTGAAACTGTGAGACGTGAAATTCGACATCTTACCGGAGAAAAGATTGGAAAGAGTACTGTAGAAAGTTTTTATTATGGTAAAGGGGATCCAAAATTTAGCACAGTGGTATCAATTATGAGATGGGTAGAAAGTAAAGAAATTAGTGATAGTTTAGGTAATAAATAATAATCCAGAATAGTGGAAAAGGAACTGCCAGTATATGAGTTAGGGCTCGGCAGGCTTATCAAACAGGCATGTTCTTTTATGCCTTTCCTCCCTTGAAACAACCTGCTACTCTATTGTATTTTACTTTCATTTTTACTTAGCCGGCCGGCCCTTTCTCATGTAATACTTTACAAAAAAATATAATAATAGAGTTTATTCCTAATTTTTGTCAAATATAAATTTTGTGTTCACTTATCAATGAAAAATAATTTGCCTATATCTGATTTGTAATAAAAAAATTAAGAGTCAAACTTCTTAAAAAGAAAGGGCGAAGAAATAATTTGATGCTTGGCTCGCATTAAATGGCCTAGGATCTGTGCTCTTTGATAGCATCACATATTTCAAAATGCGTCGTCACAGTCGTCACTCGTCACACATATCCATTTGGTGCATCCCAGGGTTGTACAATGATCAGTGAATGATGCTTATCAGTTATGATGATCAAACGCGCGTTATAAAAAATCGCAATTTAATGAATTTTATGTTACTAGCGATGTCGAAAAATCTTCATTATGAAGGTAGTTTACTAGTACCTATACTGTGGCCTGCATATTACTTAACTGCTTACAACTCCACTTGCAGAATACTGGACAAACACCAGCGTTGAGGACTGGTCGATCGAATCATTTGATGTTCATTGGATCCAACAAAATCCACGTCTGCACCATAGGTCAGCTCAAGCTCACGCTTCACTAGGTAATGAGTTAAGTATACTTGCTAGGAGATCAGATCAAAGGATAGCGGATAAAGCACAATCGTTACAAAAACAACTAAAGGTTAGTGTTATTTGAAAGAGCAGGATCCGTATTGCAAGCTCTCATGTACTACGCCCCTCGATGCTTTCGAGGAGGGTTGGATGCTTTCTTAACCTGATGGGGAGGAGAAGCGTGGCGGTTTCACCTATTACAAGTGACTCTTTCACGTGTACATGCTGAATATTGATGTGTACTACGCCCCTCGATGCTTTCGAGGAGGGTTGGATGCTTTCTTAACCCGATGGGGAGGAGAAACGTGGCGGTTTCGTTTAACGTAAACGATTCTTTCGCGTGTACACTTCATTTCAATTGCACGTAAAAAAAACTGTTAATATTAGAGCTTTACTCTAAAATTTGTTTTTTTTTATAAACGATGAGAACAATCCATCGGAGATCCATAAAATTATCTGGGAGAGAAGTGAGGAAATCGCGTCATCACAGGTTCATCTGTCACTCAGCGAAATCTTAGCAAAGGTAATGCAATTATTTTTCAAACTTAGATCATAATTGGAGTGCTGTTATCTCGCTTGTTAATAGATTTCTCCAATTTTTCAGGTCAATATCAAGAAAACTCTTGTTGACGAGATCAGCGAATCTGAAAGAAAAAAAAAAAGGTACTTGATGCCATATAGTTCTTTTCAATGAGTTATCTAAACTAATTCTGTCCATGTAAAGATCCCTTTCTACAAATGAAACACGCGATACAAACTGTTTAGGAAAAAAAAGCAAGGTAAGAAATTGGCTGATATATTATAATGTGTTATAAAGTTGTTCATAGTATCAAGTTTAAAAGAAAAGTATTTTCATCATAGAGTGACAACATACATAATGGAGAAACAAGCAAGGATAACAGCGAGCATGAAGAGGTGAGCAATCAAATAGTTATATGATTTATTGCGATCCACTTAGTCATTATAGTTAAGAATCTAAATGAATATCACAGAGCGAAACTCTGGTTAAAAATCTTCTCGATGAACTACAACAGTGCTCTGAGAAAACGGATAATTTAATACACAGTTTTCAAAAGTACTGTAGTGATTCTGTTAATGAATTTACCCGGAATGAAATTATGGACCTAACCCCGTCTTCAGAGTTTGTTCTAAGATATACGGATGAGGATGACTACATTCAAGTTCTAAAGAGACCTTTGAGCCTGTCGATGAGTTGTTTCCGGAAGAGCGTTCGAATTTCTTGATGACTTTTTTTCAGAGGTATCGTTTTGTACTTTTCTTGGTAATTTGACTTTTTTTTTCCAATCTCATCATCACTGTTATTTCTTTAACAGAATTATACCCATCAACAATGGGATAACAAGCTGGAGAGTTTGTTGGAACCGGAGGAAGATCCATTTTTGAAAAAGTTGAAGAGACTTTTATTTGAGACATTGCCTGCCTTGCAAGTATACAATAACTTTTTTTATTCTCAGTTTTACAAGGATTTATTAACATTCTTATTTATCTTTTAGCTTTGACGCGTATTCCTTGCTACATGACAATCCACTCAAGAACCATGATATGCTGGAAGATGAATTTATGAATACGTACATCCATCCTGTTCTAAAGAAGGCAATGTGCAGGTTTTCGGATATTCGTTATATACCGTAAGTATTATGTGAATATCTTTTTAATTACTGTGTTAAATTTGTTTGTGGTTCTTTTAGGGGAAACAAAGCTATTCAAGCATCTGCGTATAGGAAGTCGATAACGAAACAAGAAGGAAATGCAGACCGCTCAGATGGGATTGCGTACACAAACACCGAAAAATCATATGAAATTTGTGTAGTAGAGGGTTCCAGGCCATATGTTGTTGATGACACAAAGGAAATGTCTGATTATGTTCAGAATGCGCGAGCTGGAAAAGATATAATAAACTATACTGTTGTATCCGAAGTCAAGTTGAAACGAGCACCGCCCCTGCAATTCAAAGCCTATATGGTTCAGAGCATTGGATTAAGTCTTCGATTTTACTTTATGGACTATTTGGGTATGTACACATACAAACATTATTATAAAAAATCATTTTGCTAACGATTTTTTTTAGGAACATATCGGCTTTTTGAAATTGAAACGTGCGAAATTCCAACGGAAATAGAAGGTGTCAATTTATTCACATCTTTTTTTAAGGCAGTTGTGACTTGGGCGGTAAGTAATAACTATTTGATACTTTGGGTTTTACTTTCACTGATTTCATCTATTGTATATACGAGTAGTTGATGGTTAAGGGCACTGATCAAGAATTCCGATCAGTAAGAAACAAAAGAAGTGCGCGCTACAGTAACGCCCACAATTTACGAGTTCTTTCAAAGATTAATCATAACAAGCCTCGTACGGGTAATACAAAAATCGTCAAAGAAAAAAAAATTATATAGAGGAAAGAAATGCTTGATGATGAAAAATCGTAATGTAACTTTAGTCTTATTATTATTACTTTCACGATTTAATAATACACTTAGAATATTAATATATCGAAAAATTTTTATATGTACATTGTGAACATAATAAACAACGTATTCTGTTTTATGCTAATATACTGGTTTTATGTATTAAAATTTGTCTTGTTACGTGTTTTGATCCCAGTTTTTGCTCAAACTTTAAAATATAGTATATGTAAGTGGAATTAGATAACCGGTAAAGCATTTTAAAGAATCAATAAGACCCAATTCTCGAAGATGCTCTGGAATAACTACATATTGGATCTTCGTAATACCAAACATACCTTAATGTAATCTGATTCTTTTCGCATAATTCTTTCTTGAGTTGATCACGCATCAACTATTTCTCAAAGTCGTCTTCACTTTTGTGAAAATATTTTACATGTTGCTCATGTTGTTTGCCCTGTACCTCTATAGCAAATCCATACTGCGGATAGTAGATATCGAGCTCTAGTCCTCGAGGATGTTCAGGTATTTTCAAGAAGGTAGGCCAAGAATGTTGGTTATAACTTCGCGACATAGATTTTCATGTTTATTTAAGCAATATGGGCACCATGTCTTGGAGTGCTTTATACAATTAAAACTTGAAAACCATTTATGACCTTTATTACACATCCATTGCATCGGAACACAGAGATTTATATATTCTGTAGAAAGACACATACCTCCTCTACTGTAGGCGATTCCTTTAGCTTCTATAAGACCACAAGGAAGATTGCCAGCACATTGTGTGCATCATCTTCCCATATTTTTTATTCGATAAAGGGTTATAGACCATTTGTGACCTTTGGCACATTTCCAAAGCATCGGGGTATCTGTAATAACATATTCTGTAGAAAGGCACTTACCACCTCGTTCTTGTGCGATATTATTTGCTATATCAATATTGAATCGTCGTTGACTACATTTTCGGTGCTGTGTATCATTTCTTTGGATTGGGATACATTCTTGTTCTGGTGTAATATATTCTTGTACTAGGACAATCTTTTGGCTTGGTATAGCACGTTTTTGTTCTGGTGTAATATGTCCTTGTACTGGGATAATCTTTTGGCTTGGTATAACACGTTTTCTGCCTGGTGTACTACACCTTCGACACCAAGTTCCCTTAAGAATATCCTTTGCTGAAGCCTTCCACTTATGGCCTTCTTTACACTGCCATTCAAGAGGATCACGCCTATTAACATACTCAGTTGCAAGGCAAAGACCTCCTTTCTTTTCTGCAAACTTCCTCATATCCTCAATCGTTCGAGTATGACGATTTTTAACTGCACACCACGGGCACCATGTTTTTTCATTTTTTACACTGGTAAGTCTTGCAGACCATAAATGATCCTTAGCACATTTCCAAAGCATTGGCATCTGACAATCGATATATCTTTCAGAGATGCATTCACCTCCTCTGCTACGTGCGATCTCTTTAGCAACATCCAAAGTTAATTTTGCCATTAATATTTTACATTAAATTTCAAAAGGCCGGCGGAAAGCATGGTATTATTTCATTTTGTGCTTTATTCCTCCCTTTAAACGCGATCTACTCCAATATCTTTTATTAGTTTCATTTTTTACTTAGCCGGCCGGCCTTTTCTCACATATTATTTTACAAAATTATAATAAAGATTTTACTTTGAGTTTTTTAAACGTGTTTCGCGTTTTACAAGTGATATAATATTTATTAATATTTATTTGCTTTCGTATTCTACTAATATTAATTGGGTATTTACAGATATGAAAAAAATTTACTTTCCATACAAAGTGCTGAAGGTTAAACTATTTTATAGCAAAGTAAAATAAATGTTCTTTTTTTTTGTTATTATAAAAATCACTCTTGGTCGTCCGGCTCAATGTAATTAATAAAAAAATTAATTGTTTCGGCATTCTGAAAAAATGAAGGTGTCACAGGTTTCGATACAGAGGGTGCTGTTAAACGCGATCTATTAGGAGAAGGAATTCCTTGAGGAATTTTTGTAGTTCCAGATCCTGAGATACTTGCGGATGTGATGTGACACTTGGTCTAGGAATTCTTGATGGTTGCGATCTGCTCAGTGTATTAGATGATGTCGCGTTTGCTTTAGCAAACTGTTGACTTTCTGAAAACAATAAACATTTAGGAATAAATCTTTTGTTCACTTAAGTGCATCCGAGAAGAATATCATAGAAATAGCCATTAAGAGAGACAGCAGTGCAAATACCGGATTCTTTCCAAAATTTTGTAAAGAACTCTTCGTAATAATGTTCTTTAACAAGACTTCTCTTCTTTTTAACTTTTGCCTTAGCTCTCCCATTAGTTTCAGCCACAGCTTCCTTATAGGCCTTAGCCGTCTACAATATTAGATCAGAGTCAAGTTAAGTAATATGATAATTATATCAAATGTTTTGGATATATTTACATAGTAAGCTCGAGTTAAAATTAAGAATTTCTTGTTATAATCTTCTCCAGTAAAGTAATTAGTATTATTTACTCAGTTGATTTCATTCACAATATCTTCCTAAAAGTTTCTCTTATTATCCCTTAAACTGTAAAGCAGGCAAATTTGCCTGCAAATATAAAAAAAAAGTATTAATTTTTTAATAAAATGTAAAATATTAATATTAATAATATAATTATTATATAAAAAATATAGTTTAATATATATTTTATCAACTTTATTAGAAG